GGACTTCTTAGTAAATAGGAATTAACAAAATCGTTGAAGAGTCTCTCCAGTGCCTTTGAGAGGCAATCGTGTTTGGAACTCCCTGATTTCTATTTTGAATTGAGCCCGTTTACCATTTCCACGAGATTTTTCTCAATATCCATGGATGAAAGGATTCTAATCCAATAGATTCTCGGCATTCGAGAATCATGTTTTGGGAAGTGCCCCGCATCCGATTTCCATTCACAGAATCGTACTCACTTATTGAATCCGTATTTGGCCCATACAATGAACTGCAGTGGCCAGCTGACGTGGAAGTCAGTGCTTTTACCCTCCCAAGCGAGTTTCGTACCGATAAACTGACCCCGAAGAGACTGTCAACGGCCTGATTGGCCTAGACAACTACCGATCCGGGATTCGAACCGCCGACCGTGCGTGTGTGATAACGCGCCATTTGGGAATATGCCACCTTCACTCTTTTTGTCATACTAAGCTAGTTATTCGAATTGAGCTCTGAGAGATGCTCTTGTTCATTACTCGTGTGGGAATAAACAATGGGATAGCTGAATCCCACAAACTCAACTGCTCTCTCCCTTCTTTAGATATTCCACAGTCGTTTCGAGAACTCCGGGGACGATAGAGTTGGGCCTAAATACCGATTGTCCCACCGATGACCCTTAGCAACAGCCTGAACCCCTTGTTAGTGGAGATTGAGGGACGAACGAGCCAAAATTGTGGAACAAGCAATTCCATATTTGTTTTTCTAAGTGAAGCTCATATGGTACCCAGTTCCCTTCAGGAACATTTGCCAAAGAGCCTGCTCTAAAATACCGATCAAATTGCTAGTTACTTTATGAGTCTTTTATGAAATAATGTCGAAATGCGTTTTTCGAAAGCGTTCAAGTGAGGAAAGTAGTTTTATCAATTCATCTACAAGTAAGACGTCTCTAGTCATCTTTAGATCTCGAAGGATGACAAAAAGGTTAAAAGGTAAGGTCATCAAAGTAAAGATCTTATCTAACAACTTCGTTGTTTGACGAACAAGTAAACATGGTTCCACATAAAATGACTATTTCTAAACCGGAACGTTCGGGAATTATGTGTCGTCGTCTAGACCCCATAAAATGTCTAGAATTCACATGAAGCGGCATAGAGACCATTAATCGCGGACGGAAGGAGTGAGAGGAGCTCAAGAAAACGAAATTTCAGCAGACAAAAGGCACAATTCCCTAAATTCCTACCGTAACCTTAGATCCCTATTACTGGACGTAAAATAACACGTGAAGTGGCATTGGCCTTGAAGCAATCGCAGACGAAACACCTTATTTTACGACACAATTTTTCTCGGTAATTACTACACTATCGAAATTGCGAAGTTTAGGTTCTGAATTGATAACGAGTTTCCGTTCTCGTAAAAGTATTAGAGGGTAAAAGTGAGGATCGGGACAACCCTCGAGGACGATGAACCATGCCCATCTCGTGCTCGTCTACGCTACCTAGTGATGACGGAGTTCAATGCTGCTTGGGGAACCTTTTTTGGGGTAAGTGGGGATTGCTACGGATGGGTTTTCCTTACTATCACTTATTGGTAATTATTGATAACTTCCATTGCTATTGATTCAGGGAAATTATGGCCCTGTCCGGAATCGCCAGGAGTTTCCACCAGCTTCTATCGAACCCTACTGAACGCCTACTTAATGAGAGGGTATAGAAGAGCAGAAGATGGTAATCAATTAGGGTTGAAATAACTGCGCCTCAATTACGAGGAAGGCTTAGTAATTTAATTACAGTAATTCTGAATAGATTAGATTTCTAGGTCCTAGGGCTAATACTGCTCTTTTACCCTTTCATTTTGCTCTGCCATGCTCGGGCACACATTGAACATTTCCGTCCCAGTTTTTCTCGATCTTTGTGTCACAACATTTCCCTAGCAACGAACTCAGTTACATCATCAGTCGGACTTTTTCATTTGCAAAGTTGACGCAATGACTGAAGGCGTTTCCGATTCCATAGCCCGTTGATTTGGGGCTCATGTCAGACATGCCAGACTCATAAAAACGTACCTCAGTTTAGTCTGCCGTCTGTTACAGAGGCTGAATGCGACTTTCCAAGAACACAGTCCCATGAGAACATAAGAAGACGTTTTACACCTGATGAGTACCATGAGAAGTCTTGACCCTTCGGAGCCTGTAAGGAGCTCAGAGGAGGTCCTTTAAGCTAGAACTCAAACTTACCCGGTCAATAATTTGTTTGTGACGTTTTGCGGTCGTAGTATAGTCATGGGCAGTAACACGGAAACATAGTGTGTATTTCAATTGTTGCTTTTGTTTTTTATTGTACTAGTCGTGAAATAGCACGTACTTGTGGCATTGATACGGTCAACACAACTCAATCTACGACGCAATTCAGCCACAGTTCAGGGGTATGGGTACTTACGNGAATCACCACGTACTTCGCCGCGCAATTTGCCGCGCGCATCCCCGGACGCACGTAAGTTCCGTCCCCCACAGTTCAGTAATTATTTCACGCCTACTATTACGGTAGGGATTTGGACATGATCTATCATTTTGTTGCTCAGTAACAATTATTGCCGACTTTTTGTACATACTGCTTTACTCTAAGCATATTTAAATTTAGTTTTCAGTTTTTATTGTAGGTCAAAACTAGAGAACGCATAAAATTTTCGAAACAGTAGTCGGACTGTGCAAAATGTTTTCGCCAACTATTTTGTTTGCTAAGACTGTAAAAAAATACTTCTTAGTTAATTAATAAGTTCGCGTCTAAAGATCATATTTTGTTTTTGAAAAACTCTGTGCTTCATAAAGGCCTGTCTAGTACCTCGCCATCGGAGCGACCTTTATTTCTGCCCGAGACTTTTATTCTTTATTCCGAGTTATCTCACATGACTCAGCCACATTTTTCTCATGAATACTTTTTTTTCTTTGCTTCCAATTTGTACTCTTTTCTTTGTTTACATTCGAAGGCCTATTTTTTCTTCCCGTTTCTCACTATCAGTGACATCATAAGCATCTTGTGGCTACATTAAAAGATATACCAAGGAAAAAAACTAGTATTCATGAGACTATGTTATCATCAGGGCTATTTTAACCAAATACCTGATAATCTCTAAGGTTTCATAGTAAATGTTTCAGAATACTCTGGAGAATCCTTGAACAATTTAAAGTTTCAGAGTCTTTGATTTGAGTTCACAATTCCGCCCTTCGGCATCTTTCCCAGTGCCGGAAATACTTTTATCGAATTCGATGTTTATTGTTTACGTGTCGCTTTCAGCCACAGTAAACACGAAGACGGGTAAATTATAGGCAAAATTTCGGCCAGGGATGGGTCCTGAACTCGTACTTTTGCTTACAGGGAACCTGCTATTCGTAAGGACAAGCGTGGCCCACTGATGTAAATGATAAAAGGGCAACCCGAGTCTTGGTAGTATACGGAATAAATAGCAAGGTCAGCGCAAAAGTACGTGTTCGTGTCCAGCGTCAAAACCAGCGTTTCTATAACGCCCCTTTTGAATTGCTGATGTTGGCTATTATATTTCTAGGTATTGATTAGCCTGCCACCACGTATAATTACGTATATCTATTAGTCTCTGCTTCATATGCACAATTTCAATAAGAATTACCAGTTACAGCGCATGAACCCGACATAATTTCTGAGAAATAGCGACTGGTTTTCTGACATATCAAAAAAGGTTATTTATTGCTGTTTCAAACTTCGAAAAGTGTACTAAACTAAATAAGGATCGCTCGAAACTTTTTCAAATTTCCTAGGAGTTTCAAGTGTCTCCAATAAAAAGCTTGGAGTACAAAAACGCTCCCAATTTTGACCTCACTATGAATCCCGAGAAAAGGAGGAGAGGGGATGGAAGGAGGGGGGACTGAAATTTACACATACTCGTTTCTTATTTTCAATCAATCCCGAATATACTGGACAGGTGTGGTGTAATGTCAAGTGGCCCACACGGATGGTTTCGGTTCGAATCACGGATCGATACTCGCCCAGGCTAACCCACAGGACTTGTCTGGCAGGACAAAAGCACCGATTTTTACGGCTGGCCACCGAAAGTCATTGTGTGGGCTACACATGCTTTCCAATCGCCACTACGATTCTGAATGGAAATCGAATACGGGGGCGCTCCCCAAACACAGGATCGATTGGCGCCGAAAACATAATCCTTTTAATCCCGAATATGGAAATGGAAGTGGAAAAAAGCCGAAATGATATGCGAAATGGAAGGATGAATGATGACGAAAGAAACGAAATCTATTTCTGATAGCTATAGAGCAGCTAAGCTAGCTTACAAAATTTCGTTACATCACTTCCGTCGTCGGAAATTCCATGAGTTGTTATGGAGACCAAATCGTCGTCGTCGTCGTCGTAAGACGCGGATCCAGATTTTCCCAAACAACATATGTTCTATACATATGACGTAATCACTTTACAGCTGGCACATATTTCATAAAGAACACATGCCACTTTAAAAATTGACGTAATCACTTTCAAAGAATGTCCGCAAAAAACAACAATGACGAAAAACGACAACAATCAAATAAACAATTTTATTGTCCACCAACAAAGCAAGTATACGAATGAATGAATAGTGAGTAATCGATGTGGGCAAGATTTATATGAGAATAGAAGCTGCATATTTTGATTTATAAATCATCATTTTAAGTAACGAGTAATAGAGCAGCCAAAACAGATTATCTCGTAAAAATCAATAGTCAACCACGTCACAGCTGAATAACAAAAAAAATCAGGGAGAGATTCTTCATTACGAATACGTTTTACTCTTTTTGTAGCACAACTATATATCGAAGCATACCGAAATATCAAGTAGATCAAGATCGAGTGTAACCCGTAATTATTTCAATCAAATAGAAAAGTGTAAAAGAAAGTAACCGAATGTTTTAGTGTAACATGGAGTGAGTAGTGCAAGTGGTGATGATGATTGAATGTGAAAAATAAATGTGATTGGGGAATAATTTGAATAGGAACAGCAGCTAGGAAGCATTATGAGATGATCCTGAAGTATTTGGATCATTATGATGATGTGATGATTCTTCATGATCATCACATCGTGCCGATAAATCCGACAATCGTTCAGCCAACTTTGCAGCACCGGGATCATTTACTTCGAGGTCGATTTGGGGTACAGCATCACGTCTCCCGGCACGTCCAGATGCCACAAAATGTTCCAATGTATCACTTTCAGCTTCGAGTTCACCCATTGAATATGATTTGTGGGTGAAATGAAGTAGGGTCTGGGTAGGGGAGACACAATTACTCTGCAGGGAAGAGACAGCAATACAAGTGTGACGACGGCGGCGGCGATCCGAGACGACCTACGATGGCAGTCTGACTCTCTGACCTCGGCCCGCTAGCGTGCAGACGACAGAGCCTGCTGCTTGTATGTGGGAAAGGAGTTCCGCCTAAACTCTGGGACAAAGCGTAATTATCACCCCATAGAACCCGATTACTCATCCATTACAACAGTCAACCTATCTGGGAGACCTAAGACCTGATACAGCTTTATGGGAGGTCCAGGGTCCATCCAATTAGAAAAAGTCGATAACCCCGCAAATGGGAGTAATGACTCATTGATTTTTGACAGTTTGAATAATTGGCCGCGTTTTATACGATTCCTTCTGCACTTGCGGTACACACAATTGATTACGTCAACGTTTTACTACTTCCCTGAACTTTTATCAGTAAACATCCGTTATAATTCGTGGAATTGGCTAATTGACTCCGTAGCATTACCAGTCAGTAACTTACCCCAAATAAAGGCTAGGCGATTCTCTGTGAATAAGTAAAATGAGCTTTAAAGGTGATTCCCTTAAATCTGTATCTTAAATTACCTCCGAAATGAAGTTGTAATGGATCCTTAGTTGTCCATTTTTGTTCATGACCTGAATCGCTTATGTTTTGATCAAACAATTTTATGTTACCAAATCATCATCTGCAATCAGATTTTATCAGTTCTTTTGAAGGTTTATTATAATGGTGTGAACTTGAATGTTATCTGAAAATTGTTGACATTTTGAAAAAGTTTTAATCTTTTCTGAAGGTGCGTGATCGAAAGAATGACTTATTAATATGGTGTTCAATTTTTCAGCAACGATGTCTAGCAAGAAGAAACCGACGATAACTACTTGTGATAAGTGCCAATGTACTGTGCTGGTGAAAGATTTTCCCCGTCATAGCGAAATGTGCGGCTCAGCACCACATTATTGGGAGGTGATTTTCAATGAAATCTGGTTTGATATTATCGAAAAAAGCAAAGCTATTCAACTCTCCATTCAATTGTGCGATAGGGGAGAATGGTCCTCAATTTTTTCGAATTATTATGAAATGTTACCAGTCATATCTTTAATTTTATTGATTTCTGGTAAGCGCAGAGCCAGCTGTTCTTTTTCTCTTTATTACTCCCTCGATGCGCTTGAATGCTTCCCACGCCGTGCGCTTCCTTAAGCTCAGCTCTGGGTAGGGTCCTTCATTATATTGTCTTCCCGACCAGACGCAAATAGAGCATTCAAAGATATTCGTTCTACTTAGCATAGAGTGAGAGTAAGATAGCGATTCGTTCCTCGTGAACATCGTCTTCGTTAGCTTCTGTCGTACACCGATTTTTCGCAAGCGTTTTTTAATTCGGCCAGGATTCCTTCCGCCTGTTCGAGGTTCGCTGTTACAATCACGATGACGTCTGCAAAGTGGGAATGATGTAAATAGGGGATCTTCCTGCTCTGACAAGCGTCTCGGACACTTGGGTTTGACTCGCCGTTGCTTACGTCAACGAATCGAAGATCAGGTGGTTCGGACACGTCAGGCGATGTTGTGATAACCGGTGGACCAAGACGGTTGTTGGATGGTTCCCCGAGACATCGAAATCAGGATGGCCGCCAGCACGACGGTCAGAAATTAGTTAGAACTCAGAAAATGACGCAACAAACTGTATCTAAGGTAGCGCAACACTCGGGGCACATTTCGTCTAAGAAGGGGACATCCTCGAACTAGTGCTCTGTAGAAAAGCCGAAAGATTATCAGGCATATCCAGAGGTTTATGTACCCTTATTTGGAATATCTAAATAGGCGATACGGCTAGGTAATTTTAAGCTATATTTTATCGTATAATCGGATTATTTCGATTTTCATTGCCAAGTTCTTCTTATATTCAAGCTAAACCCTTTACATTATTCAAGTTGATTCGTTTCAGATGAGTTTAATAAAGCCACGATACATAATGAAAGGCTTCGTCGTGCAGTGTGACAAGTCGAGTGATTATCTCCCGCCTGATACGAGTGGTTGGCTCCGTAGATATTCGGTTTTAATGCATCCACAAGCAATGGAAATACTTGATATTAACCCGAGGCAACCAGTTCGTGTTCAAACTCCTGTCCACGAGTTCATCGGAGTGGTATGGCCATGTAAAGAGGTGAGCGTTTGTTGCTTCGTGTAGACTATTTCCCATAATAGATCCTTCTCAATAAGTAGATTTTAGTTGGGAATTTTACGCTTGTCTCTCACAGAGGACAATGCACCATGGGAGAAACTTGTCTCGATTATACCTATTTGGAATCCATTACATCTCCAACGAATATCTGTTTCCATCGACTCACCCTTGCCAATGGCCGTGGAATCATTACAAGACTATATACAGGTGATTCACAACTTTCATTGGTTTTCATTCACCCTTAGTTATTTACCCTATTCAGATGTATTTGACGAACTCTTATATTCAACCTGGAATTGCCATACCTATGAATTATTATGGAAAAGTTATTCAAATCGTTCCAGACGTCCCTCTCGAGCTTACATTGAAGGATATGTCGCTTGAAGATGGAGAATTAGAGGTACTAATCTTTGGATGTGAACATTATTTTCTAAAATCCTTCACAATCTTTTTTTATAGTCTGAACATGTGGTCTTCGTTCCCTCCGACTGTACCGTCTCCGTAACTTCGGCTACATCGCCCCAAATAGCAGAAGATCCTCTATCAGCTGTGTATGCCTTAGGTGGGATGCATACAGCGAAGAAAACACTGATGGATTTTGTTCTGGTACCGTATTTGAGGTAGTGATGTTGTTGAAAAAGCTTTGCTTTCTCACAAAGGAGCATTTAATTTTGTGACAATTTTCAGGGACAGATCCTGTTGTTCTGTATTACTGTGGGGTTTGCCAGGAAGTGGCAAGACATTTCTACTATCTGCTGTCGCCAAAGCTCTGGGAGGCTCGGCATTCTACTGCCAGGTAACATGAGTTTGTTTAGTTATTAAAGGTCAAGTGATCTAGTGACAACAAGCAGCAATCTGATGCTCCCGATAAGGATCTGATGTTTTCCACGTTGATTTTGAATTCATTCCCCTTCGATGAATGATTACAGGATTTTTTGGAGAGGAACTTCTTATGTTGAAAAGCTAGCTCTTACAGACAAGTTTTTACCCCATGGAAATCCTGGACAATAAAAATTGAATCGAGAAGAAAACATAACTGAAGTAGATACTGATATCAGCTAACGCGCCTCCTATCCATGTTTCTAAAGCCGATGCCTTGTTATTAATGTTGGATAGGAATTGAAAACATCGAGAAAGAGCGCAAGCACGCACATATTTCTTAGGTCCCCTGCAATAGCCTCGTATGCCATCATAAGTGACCCCTTCTTGGTCATTTTTGGTCGTTTATCCAGTCACTCAACAATATATGAAGAAGTAACTTACCCTCTTTATTACAACTTACTTGTTATTTTTAGTCAATGGATGAATTCAACGAGAAATACGCTCTAATCCCGTCACAATGTATTGTTATTCTGGATTGGCCATCTGTGGACAGAGAGCACAAAGGATTCAACAAACTAGTTCAATTGTTAGATAATAAGGTATTTTTCGTTGTTACACATAAGGTATTATTCTGAAACAAAGTTGAATAATAATAGAAAACAACATTCTTCTAAAAGTGGCCTCGCCTTTTTTTCCTGTTCTTCATGCCTTTCATTTTTGCAATTTCCCTGGAATATCAACCCATGCACATTCGGGGTGTTATTTTTGGAGTTGGATTTTGGTTGACGAATGCAGTTTTTGATTTCTCTGGGGTCGATTGGCTTTTTTCAACGGTATCAAAGAAGCTCCAAACTTCTTGCAGTCGTTTATCTGAAAATACTGCCAAGAAGTTAAATTTCGTGGCCTTAGCCTGGCATAATATCCTTTATGTGAATCTGTTTTCAGTGTGCAGCCGTAATACTATCTGTGAGACAAGCAGAAGATCTTGACCTTGGAGTAAGGGTCAGGTTTCCTGTTGAAGTGAGTTGTTAGTTCATTGCCACTGGATCGATCCCTCAAGCAACGTTGGTCTTCTTTGAGGTCGAAGTCGATGTTCCAATGGAGGAAGAACGAATAGAAATCCTGCGCTCTCTCACAAATAGTCCTGATGATGTGATCGTAGAATTGGCAAAGTAAGCTGTTTTTGGCTGTTTTTTGGTTTTTCTCACTTAAGTTTTGTTCCGTAAACCTCCTACATGGCAAACTTTTCTTTGTTGGTGGGGGGTACGTGGACGTTTGGATTCCGGTAGGTACTAATGTACCTCGCCATGCTCTGTGTAAGGACACTATTACTCGTAAACTCATATGTGGAATGGAGAGGTAATGCAAGACATATGCAAATTGCATTGATCACTACAGTGTCCTTCACTATCCTTACCAGCTCAGTATTCGCGATACAATTTGCCTGACCTCAAAAGAAAAACGGTGAATTCCTTGGCCTTCTTCAATGTCCTCTGAAACGCACCACTCACTTGAGTAGTTTACTTAATTTATGACTATTATTTGAGTTTATTTAATTTATGACTTATGGTCGATATTTTAGTCACAATTTTGATTGAATGGAAGACGTAAGGGAGATTAGACGTGGGCGGTCCGAAGATCTCCTTTCTGTATCATAATCCGGAAACTACGTCACCAGTCACAGGGATGAAATCCCCGGATTTTTGCGGTCAAACTCCATCGTTTGCTTTCATCCTGAGACCACCATCCTGAGATCAATAGAAATTTTATTATTGCCTAAAATGGTCCCTGTATTTGAAGACGTACACATGGTTTCACTGGAGGCGATTTGCAATCACTGGTTCTCGCATCCCGCTTCACAGAAGGCCAGAATGACAGCGAAAGGCTGGAAAATGCTCGAAAACGTGTTCGGCCAACTGGAATTCGGCAGTTTATTTTGGAGGTTTGTCTTGTGATGCTTTGAGTGGACAAGTAAGTGGATCAAGAAAGCGTTCAGGTGCCTCATGTGAGTTGGGATGACATTGGAGGTAGTGAAGAACTCAAACTCGAAATTCAGCAGGTATCGAGATAAATCCCCCTTTCTACCTTTAGATTGTATTTGAGGAGAATAAACATTGACACCTATTGGCACCTACTACTATATACTTCAGGCTGTAATTTGGCCTCAGAAACATCGTGATGCGTTCGAACGATTCGGCATTGATCCTCCTTCAGGTGCGTTCATGTTTTTTCTCGCCTTCGTTTTGGTTCAGCGTTTATCGGAGTTTCTCTTTCAGGAATCCTTTTGTACGGTCCTCCTGGTTGTAGCAAGACATTGGTTGCACGTGCTCTCGCTACTGAGTCGAAAATGAATTTCTTAGCCGTCAAAGGGCCAGAATTGTTCAGCAAGTGGGTTGGAGAATCGGAAAAAGCAATTCGGGATTTGTTCTCCAGGGCGAGGCAGGTAACGTTCGCCAGATGCATTGAATTACGGCTAAATTTATTGTTGTTTTATGACAAGTCGTATTAGGTAGCCCCCACAATCGTATTCTTTGATGAAATTGATGCTGTCGGAAGCTCGAGAGGGTCTGAAAAGAGTTCAGGTGCGTGAGCCTAACCTAGTTTTATCATAGAAAACTACTGACATTACAAGTGGTGCCAGTTTGTTTCCTTTATAGGTGTTTCTGATCGGGTCCTAGCACAGCTATTAACGGAGCTTGATGGACTCGAGAAACAAAGTGGCGTCCTTCTTCTTGCTGCAACAAATCGTCCAGATCAGCTTGACAGTGCCCTACTTAGACCTGGTAAGCACATGCGGGTATATGATCATTTCTATACATTATCAATGTTTCGATTCGGTTACTTCCTTTCCGATTACTTGTAGTTTCTTATGCTGACGATTTTCCATACTCCGAGGCATTGCTCAGTTTTTTTTATGCTTAGGTCGTCTTGACCGTGCAATCTACGTCGGTCTTCCATGTCCCAAAACGCGGCGGGCTATTATCGAAATGAGAACAAAGCGAATGACTATGGCTGAAGATGATATCGTTGACAGATTAGTCAACAAAACTGAAGGTCTGTTTGTGCTTGCACCTGACTTCACTTGGAAATTGCTCCTGATGAATTCTGTTGAATCTTTGTGACAACTCTCACGCTGATAGGTAGCAGCACTTGGTTTTGCCAGTGTTCAATTCGTAGTTACTGTTCCAATTATCAGTTTTTGTTATCTGTTAATTCTTGGTGTACACATTTGAATGGTTCAGGATACTCGGGAGCTGAGCTGGTTGCTGTTTGTCGACAAGCTGCGCTCCTTGCAATGCGAGAGAACATAGAAGCAACAGAAGTGCGATGGCAACATTTCGAAGAGACTCTGACCACAATTGTGCCACGAACAGAGCACCATATGCTGCAAGCATATGAAAAATTCAAGCGAGGGGTGATGTAGGAAGGAAGAAAAGTTATTGAGCGTATTGTATAGATGTTATATGGTTCTGCAAAGACCACTGTTGTTGTTTTTGTTGGTTTTGTTCACTAATATTGTTATGATTGTTTTTTGTTACTCGTTGACAGGATTCCGGGTTTCTTTCCTTGAGAAACCGGTTGTTTGCGCTTTTGATTCTAACCTTTTTAGCTGTGTTGAGCACGCTCAAGTATGTTTAAATGTGTTTACAAGCGTTTATTCTCGATGTGCCTTTGTCATGCTTTTGTCATGGTACTTGCTTAATTTTTCTTCACAGAGAGACTCGAAGTAATGGTCTTTTGAATAACATATGGCTATCGTTCGAAGCAGAGAGTAAGATATTGTGGCAAGGCATCGGATCCCATCATAAAACTGAATTCGAAGTCATAATAAAAAAAAGTATTTTGGAGACCATAGTCAGAAAATGCGGTTCCGTATTTCAGTTATGAGAAAATGGCTACGAGTGAACGACTGAGCTAAAGAATGCCTCGATCTATTATATTAGGTGTAGTAATGTGCCAATGATGGGCCGGTACTGAGATTCTTGGTTCCATCGCATTCCTTGGGACAAATTAACCCGAATTTTTTCAATTGTCATTGGTCTTGTTAGCGCTCGCTCAATCCTCGCCAGTGTACTGTAAATAAAGGAGCAAACAGTCAACCTTCTGTAAGTAAATCGTAAATTCATGCCTTAGATGAAGGAGAAGTTCAATACTATCAGCAGGAGGGTAACCGTTTTATCTTCATTAGCACCATGATCAGCACCTTCGATTGCGCTTGATACTTCTTTTTGTGGCGAAAAACAGTGACATTAGAACACAAACATATTTATCACGAAAAATGATGAATATTGTGTGGTAAATCAGTTTATCATACCAATACCATCACTGATAATATTGATCATCTAAAAAATGAGGCATATATATGTTAATCATGAATACTGATTACTTTCGTTGTCAATACTTAAATCAGGAAAGAATTAGTAAAATATATTTGTCAAGATTAATTACTTATGAAGAAATAGCTTACATGAATTGTATAAATTGAAAACCAGCATTTCTTTCGGGCGATGGAAGGTACGGAAACAAATGAGCGAATACCTATGATTTAAAAAAATTCAGTGAATATGGGCTTCGATAGAAAGGAATGAAAGTTGCAAAAAATAAAAAATACATGTATAATGCAATTCACAAGAATATATACTCCCATATTAAGAAACACTAAATCATGAACCGTAAAGAAACTCTTCAAATTATCGAAAGATCAGATCATTGATGATGAACACATAGATCGAAGGCTCAAGTGTGGATGCTGACAAAAAATAACCACGTGTTCGACAGCCTGCTACAGAATTTGTGTAGCAGGTAGTACAAGATATGATAATGAAGAATAAAAACAATTCTACCAGCATATCACAGACTGGATGTGGTAATTAATGCCTGAAAGAGTTCATAAAGCGAAAATCTCTTCATATATTGCGAACAGCGCTATACGCGGACGCCAATGTCGTCCTTGGAACGCCTTGCCTCGCTGTCAATGAAATTTCGTAGACGTTCCAGATATGCGGCATGTAACTCAACATCATTGTGGCCAGCACCTGAATACAAATTTTTAGTGATGTAATCATGTCAGCCAATAATCTTTCCAGGGTCTATTGAAGCTCCCACCACACCCAGTCAAAACAAGGCTCCTTATCGCCCAAGAGAAAATTCTGACTGGGAATATTGCTGTCCTTCTAAACTAGGCCGTCGACATTCGTGAGAAGGCACGAATCCGGAACGCTCACCTAATAGCTGTCAATTACCAACAACAGAGGGAAAATTACGCACCTGAAACCCATAGCGGTTCAACAGAAGCCGGGCAGCGCTCATAAATGGAGACTCCATGAGAGAAGTCGATTACCTAAAACGTTCAGCCTAATCCAGTAAAAAAACTTTGCAACGATTCATACCTCATCATCAGTTCCATGGATGACAAGGGTTGGGCACTTTACGCGAGGTACTTTTTCGATTGATGGGAACGCATCACAACACCTTGAAATCATAGTTATACTTTGAAAACCAAATATGTTCGTTGAAAAATATTCACCAAGTGCGTTGAGTTCCTGGAAATGCCACACGCATTCCACTCATTAGTGGTGAATGCAGAATAAGGGCTGCTACTTCTTCACGACTTGCCAAATCAACGCTAGGTACTGTACCTATTGATTGCCCATAAAGGATTACACGATCGGCTGGGACACCTGAAAAAAAAAACGCCGATTAAGCGAATGAAGTGTTATTTCAGCAACTGGTTTTTGATTTTTTTAGAAGTTTTTGGAACAAAGTACCACGTTTTTCTGTTCACCCGTGATCATCGATGAAAACATTGCGGCGAGCAAATTCATAGGCCTATGAAGATAAACTGGACATATGGGCGACAGAATTTTTGCTTTTTACAATTACAGGAGGCAAGGGGATTATATAGCATCTGGGCTAAAATTAGTTCTGACTTTAAGCTAACCCCCTCATATCGGTCATTGTCCTGAGCTTCTAAAGAAGCGCTGCGACTTATTCGAAAGCTTCTCATCCAAAAGCTCAGGACAGTGAGTGGTTCTAGAGTTTTTCTCTTTCTCTAGTCGACTCGAACGCAAGATCCTTTTCAAAAAGTTGTGAGCTGGTTCTTTCTCCGGAGCTTGACCACAATATGACCGCTAGGAAACATTCGAGTGAAAGTTTGAGAATTCCTTTAATGCTCTACCCTTTCCCTGGTGGTGACCATTGAAAAGTTCGGTATTCTCCAAGTGAGCTATTCACATTCATGCGATCTGATATAAATATCTGTGACCATTTCTGAGTCATCAAAATGACAGATATAGACTTCTGAGTCATCAGATATTGCGAAAATTTTTAGCTTTCAGTGCTTACTCAACTCTTTCATAGAACGAGAAGCAGGATTGGACAATTTATAAATTAGACCAACATTGCCGCCTAGAATTGCGAAAAGTCGCTGAATAGCAGCATGCGAAATTTCCAATTCCAACTAAAACCCGTTATTTCGGAAGATGTCCTTATAGAATTTCTTATTCCTTGATAACCCTGCAGCCCGTCGACATCGAAATGAACGACAAGGTTATGTGGATAATGAAAACTAGCAAGACCCCTAATATAATCTTTACAAGTATGCCTCCGCCTTGTGCACAAGTAAGTTTTATGGTGGCCGGCGTGCATACCATAAAGTGCACAACCACTCACCGCAATGACTCAGCAAAACGCTACAGCGCCCGTATAACGACGTTCAGTAGTTTGCACTCTTTTTGTTTGAATTTTTCTTCGCTAAGGCGCTCTTTGAAGGTGAGGCCAGGGAGAGAGACATATCTAGGTCAATGCTGAGGCATTCCCTCGTCGAAATAGACGGCAGCTGCATGAAGAGAGAAAGTTGTAAGAAAGATATTGCGAGATCTTTTTAACAAACACTACGATTAGATTTCTTGCTAACAGTTATCGCTTACCAATATGTTTTCTAATTGAATTGGAAGTGTAAATGAAATCACGCTTATAACGCCAAACGGTAATGGATCTTGGAGAAACTTTCAATTCACGACTGACTACCCTCAGAGCCTTGTACTAGCATGTTCAATTCGCAAAGGCCACAAACACGAAGGTCTACGCCATTGAATTTCAAATGATGGTGACTTCGATCTTTGCGGGAGCACATTCATATGGCTATAGGATCGTAAAAACTTCTTTACAGGGTCATCAGCAGTGTAGTCGTAATGCGGCGTCGTAATAACATAAGGCATATTCGTATGCAAAGTGGGCCTGTGGGAGTAATTCTGTGAGGACCTTGACTGCCTGAATCGCCGCAGATATAACAACATTTAAAAAAAGAAAATAAACATTTGAAGGAATTCTTCTCATTATTAGAAGTCCTGAATTAATATAACACTCGTTAGGAACAGCAATACCACGGTGAGTGATATATGGTGAAAACCTTTGCTAATGACTATAAAAGTCGTTCTACTTCGGAGAGCTTCTAAAGAAGTAATCGAGGGCAAAGAACAAATATCAATGTTTTCACCGGTCTTCTTTCAGGAAGCGTACTGAATATCCCAAAAAAAAAACAAAGGAAGGAGTTGAACAGGTTTTCTGATAGTTCGCCCGCTGATATAAGAAAAAAGCAACCAAAATGTACCGAATTTCGTTTTCAGTGTTTCAAATGCAGCAGTTATATCGGCATAGAGATTCTTCTCCGACGGTCTTCCTGTTGAACACCCGTATCCTACAAAACAATAGAAAAGCTGAACACCTGCACACCTGCGCCAAGGCAAACAAATGCACCAAAAAGGTAGAGAGACAGATATTTACCGGAATAATCGTAGCTAAACACATTGCAGCCAAGACGATGGCCAAGTCCCCAGTAAAATGATGTCATTTGACCAATATCTACGGCGTTTCCATGAGAAAATAATAGCGTGAAATAGGCACCTGGCACGGGACGCACAAAAACACATGCGATTTTGTTTCTTCTTCTAGTTCTGGAATAATCAAAAGATATGTGGCAATAAGAACCATTCCGATAATCGGATGATATGTGGCAGTGAGAACTCTTACCGAACTAGTCCGAACTAGTATACTTCCAAAAACAAACCTTGCAACGAACATTTCCACACTGGTAGCAAGATGATCAGGATCATGAGGCCATTCTGCACGACCCTCCAGCAAATGTAACCTTGAAAATTTGATTAAAAAAATTCTATGTAGGTTTTTATCATGACGTACCTATTGTTCTCGGTGATTGTGTAGCTGGATTCGGGTGGCATAAAAGCCAGCTTTGAAACTATCGAAGAAGGAAAAGGTGGGCAACAGAATAAGCAGCATAAATACCTTAACAAAAAAACCATCATTAAGTTCTAACAGTAATGGGAGCATAACATAACGTAAATATAAGAATCGAGAAACATCCCTGCTTTCGAAACCCTGGCAGGAATCTAGGAAAATGTTCAAGGGAAACTATTTCGAATCAAATCAGCTCAGATCTAGAAATCAACGAACCTTAAGCCCATATTGCAAAATTGCTTCCAAGCAAAGCTCGGCTCACAATAAGAAGCTTACAAGGCACTTTCTATCGAGAAATCCCGTGGGCACAAAAGAAATCTGATAAGACGACGTTGGAGAAGCTGTCGAAGACGGACTATGTGCTGTCGACAAATCAAGAAATTTTGACAGAGTAAGGTGCAAAGAAAGAGAGGGAACATTTCCAGAGCTAGCACCCTTTAGCAGTTTACGTTTCGGCCTTGATATTAGCTAATATATCAAGTTATTACCTTTTTGAAGAATGCCATCTTCAAGAAATGGCAGTTTTGCTGAAGAGCTCTTCTTCAAAGTAACGCCAAGCTTTTTCATAACGGTAAGTGATGGATACTTTTTGTCTGGGGTATCCAATCCACTACAGGTCAGATAAGTAAGAACAGCCTATCAAACCCTCACCTCATCGACACTCTACCAGCAGCTGGAGGAGAAGCTGCACCCATTCCAACGTCGGAACCAGTACACTGCACTCCAGACATTCTTTCGACTAAAAAATGAAATACGTGAAACCAAATTGACGGAATAACGACGAATTGCATTATCTACGGCGTAGAGATACGAGATATTCATGCCACTGTAAAGTCGGTATATACACTACGCTTCAAATCAATTTTTTTTGTAAAAGTGCAAACGTCAATAACGGAACAGAAAGACATGAAGCTAACAAAACGAAGGTCGGATAACAATGTGACAAAGGTAGATTATCCACCCACATTCATGTCTATATTACAATGTACTCTGACATTGATCCCGAGAGACTCCCTTTTGTTAGATAAACACAGCTATACAAAACGATGTGCTGATGAAGAATCGCAATTGAAATCGCATGACCGATATTTCTAGGAACAATAGAAACTGGACAATGTTCTTTCCTGGCCTATTTTCACAACATTAACTACCTTTTTTCTTTCTCTTAAGCAAAAACTGATGTACGATAAGCACTGAAAGGTATGACACAAGCGGAAGCACCGTGCTCATTTCAGAGAGAAACCCCTCACTTTAAGTGCGTATTATAGCTATAAGTAAAAGAATGTATATTAGGCAAAAGATCTCTAAACCCAAAGTAGTAATCAAGGTTTACTAATAAAAGTTTTAAGATTAATTGCTACGAGGTTTCCCAGGGGGACATCACATTTTGAGTGGGATCAAGGTTGCGTCGTGACACTTGCCACAAAGCATCCTGATGGGTGGGGCTTTGTTAGTGAAAGGTCTCATGATGCACTGAGATTTCATGAATGTTGAGGAGTTCCTCATTCGACCTGTCCTTGTGCATAGGCATTTCGCGCCCTTTCCCTAATTACGCTTTTTTTGGAAAATGGCCTACTAAAGAGAAGAATAGAGGAGGCTGGGGAGAGTACGGAGCGTATCCTGGGAGAAAATTCGGGAAAAAATGTGTTGAAAGAGGCATTTTCCTCGACTATAAGCTTGATCGAAGCTGACCTAAGCTGTCCACCAAAGAAAACCCAAAATGTTGAGGGAACATTTGGTCAGCGTAATGGTCAACTGCCTTCAACCAGGACGTAGCCACTCAAAATTTCGATTTCATCGTTCTCAAGGTTTTTTGGCAGTTTCGAGAAGAATGTTATAACTATGACGTCTCCCACACAATGTGGAATACAATCGTTGTAGTGGGAAAAGTGCATCACGTCGAGTAACATCTGGCTTTTATGACTATCAAAAGTAACTGCCACACAACCAGCTATTCTTCAAGTTTCAATAAAGTACGTAATGCTATTCTTAATGGAAAATGAACATAATGATTAGTTACAAACAAAATAATACGTTTTGCCAAAGTTTTCCGAAAAAAACTGCTCTCAACTTTCACTTTGAATTGCAATTTGTAGCGAAACTTTTTCCAGTAACAAGTAAAAGTTCATTAAAACATCTGTGACATCTGACTCGAATGATAAATAGACATTGACCAAAGAAATAAACATGGGAACAGGGCATTCAATGACATCACTTTATGAGAAATCGATCAGCAGATGAGCGGCGAGTTTTCGCACAGACGAAAATCCACAGAGGCGAAGCCGGCCAGCCACGGCGGCCGACGACATATTCCTCCTCATGGACGACGTGAAAACTCGTCCGCGCCAACTTTGAGCGCCGCGTGACGCCGCCAAAACTTCGACGGCGGTTCCTTCTGGTTGTTCGGGTTTTCTTCCGTATACAGATACTTTTGTTTTCATATAATGCATCAGTTCGAATCATTCCATCGGTTATCGATGATTCTCAATGATGATTGGAATACCACTGAGAGATTGTCTTCTGTGACAGTTTTTGCCAGGAAAATTTTGGAAACTTGACTTTAGTCGGGAATCATTGCTTTCTTCTGTGGCGGAAAGTCGCATCCTTTTTAAATTTAACCAACAAAACTATCTACATCTCAAATATTTAACATCTAACATCGATCAGTTACTCGTATACCAGTTTTCAGGGGAATTTGTTTACTTTGACATCGATACGAGCCATTTGAGAAGGAGAAACTAGGCCTCATGAGTTGAAATCCTTCCATACTTAACAAACTTGTATGTTTCTTTGTAGTAAAGGAACATTTATTTTATGTTTATTGTATGTATGTTGTTTATTGTACAAAATATAAGTTAAATGTAAAGCATATTAGTGAAAGAAGGCAATAATTTCTCACTTTTTGGGATTTCCTAAGGAAAAATAGTATGACTCCAGCGCGGTTTCGAAATCCTATTGTAATTCGTCATTGTTGCTTCACACTTTTGTTATTGATCGTGAGTAGTCGTAAAGTAAGGCGTACAGGTTGCGTAGGCGGGCGACGTACGGATTACGGTATGAATTTGAGGCCTTACTGAATTTCCGTCCCTGTATGCGTCATATGTGATAACGGAAGTGCAAAACTTTTTGATGGGCGAGTTTATGCAGGCGCTGTCGAGTTGTCCACGGTTTGCCCTCGTGTTTTGTGCTGGCATTCCAATCCTCTGACATCATAACGTCATCTCCGTGGGCAGGTGAACAAATGAAGCGGAAATAGAATAATGAACGCGACTGGCTGATATGAGCAAAGGGATCGATTGGATTCGAGATCGTCTGAGATTCTTCCCAGTAAAGAGACTGTTCACTGCTCAGAGGTTTCTTAAAAAGCGAGAAATATTTGCTATTTTTAGTTTTGTTTCCCTTGCTTTTTGTTTGATGTCAATGTCAACAGTCTGCTGCGCTATAGATTCATTCTGTTTCTGGTGGGGCCAACTTAGTAACAATCGATCATCTCCGACGGGGCGACGAGGGTTCTTTTTCAAGTCAAAAGGCGAAAGTGCTGTTAAGCATTATGCATCGGTGGCGAGAAAACGTGAAGGTCTCCAATATTCATGCAATTAAAGGATTCTTAGAAGTGGTGAAAATAGAGATCAAACGAGATTATGACGGAGGTGGCAATGGAATGTGTATGCGTAAAGAGCTGGGTAATTAAACCGAAAAGGCCCTATTGCGTTTGGCTGTCGCCGTGGATCATGACTAGTTGTTTGAATTTTCTACATGTGTGCTCCCTCGCGAATGCTGCAGCCTCTATAGCTTCGTTAAAACTCGCACGCCTTTGGGCGTGGACGTCCACGAATCCGATCTTTGAGCCCTTGTTGTATGCCCCATCTAGACCGCTTTTCGACTCGACAATGTCTCCTTTTATGGGCAAACTATGGCTATGGGTTCGCCCTTGTTGGAGGTTTTGGAAAACATTTCTACCGTGAACTGTACCTTTAGAGAGACCATGCCTCATGTCTTAGTCTATGACTTTGATCACCATACCTTATAATTCTTGAGAAAATTTAAAAGACGATATGGGGCGATACGAGAAGTTTTCCATAAGTGTTCGGCATTCAGTTGATTCAGATCTTTGGGGTAATCCCCATTCTTCGTCTTTACCCGACTCCCGCAGTTCCGCCATCTGATATATGGAATGTAATTGGTCTTTGCTTGAAGCTCCTCTCCATGATATCCTTCTGAAGAATTGCTCCTACATAAAGCTCTTAAGCTCTTCCTTCAGAGTTTTTGTTGGTGTGATTGTTTTCTGGACCTGTTCCCTTGCCATCTTAGACGATAGTTCCCTGAGTCTGTCTGGACGAAAGCTTTCTTTCTATTCAGCCTCACGTAGCTACTTTTCAATCTATCCCCCTGCTTCATTCTCAAGCATAATTTGTCGTCCTTATTCATGCGACTGTCTGTGCGAAGTCGGCTGAGTGTGCGGCCGACGTTACTTATTAAAAAGCAGCCCAGAATACTGTCGGCCTCCACGGTCCACCCAAGTTGATGATCCTCTTATCCTTCCTTTTTGCTTCGACCTCCATTCCAAAAAAGAGTCGCCCGAAGGGTATTGGAAAGCGTCCATGCTGGTTCGCCTTAGCATTCCCTAATTGCATCCAGGTGTTCCGGAGTTATGCGTGAGTGTCCTCTGTTGGTCTGGAAACCACTAATGGATGCCTATCCAAGGCTCATGTTTATTCTCTCCGTCCTCAAAATAGGTAAACCTTGGGATAAATATTCACTGCCTACTGTAGATTCTTTTCCATGTCATCGTGGTCATAACTGAAATAAAGTTTTTCGGGTCAGTCAGTCCCAAACCTGGAATGCGCCCCGGCATTAAATGCGTATGTTGCCTATCTGTGACTTACGGAGGTCAGCCGATATACAAGTTAGTGCTTTTTCCTCCTAGACGAGTCTGACACCAATTACCCTACCCCGGAGTGATGGAAGGCTTGATGGCTTGAAGGGTAACAATCAGGGTTCGATACTCGGAACATTCATGTGTTATAGCGCACCATTTGTCACTACACCAGTTCCACCCTTTGGTCAT